CCCCAAAACCCCAAAACCCCAAAACCCCTCTAATTGCTAATAAGTAATTTTGATGCTTTATTTTAATATTAATCAACAAACAACTTATTTAAAACATAATATTAAGCATATTAATTAAATAACTATTCAGGAATAAAACGATCACATTTCCATCCCGGACTTTAATTTATAGAAATAAGATTAATCATCTTCTGCTAGATTTTAGAATGTGCCCTACTCAACTATCTGACCTTTATGTAATACACATATCCAATCACAGTTTTTAATCGTACTTAGCCTATGAGCAATAACTATGCTTGTTCTACCAATCATTGCTTTTTCAAGAGCATTATTTACTAAATCTTGTGATTACTCATCAAGAGCAGAGGTAGCTTCATCTAAAATCAAAATCTTAGGGTCCTTTATCAATGCTCTAGCAATCGCAATTCTTTATTTTTATCCCCCTGAAAGCATTGATCCTTTAAGACCACATATCTTATTGAAGCCCTAATGAAGTTGGTCAGATTTTGGAGTTACTCCAATATTTATCTTGTAATCATCATTCTTTAAAATTAACTCTAAAGAAGACTTAATACTTTCATTTTTATTCTTGATTCTTTCTTAATTTTTTGCAATAAAGTCTTCAAACTTAGTTTAAGAATCTTTTCTCCTAACATAGTCAACAACTGTTTGAAGATCAAACATCATTTTATTCTATTCAAAAGCTTTTTATATTTCTTTCTCATATTAGTTTAAGATTTTTTCTCTGTTAAGGTAGTCCTTAATATGTTCTTATTCTTAGACCCAAATTGTCTTGAGTACTAAGTCTTTAGATTTTTCAATGTTCCCAGATTAAATCACATCTTAAAATGCTCTATCTAATAGCTTGTCTTTCTTCTCTAATATTCTTTCTAATTCTTAATTGGTTTGTTTCAAATTGTTAACAATGCCTTTAAGTTATTATATTTTGCTTTGATTCTAGGCTAAATTTCCTTCCTCTTCAACTTCAAAGTTCTCAATAAACTAAAGTGCATTTGCTATTTCAGCTACTTCTCTAATTTAATCATCTGATGCCTTATCATTTCCATAGATAATGTTTTCCTTTATTGACATGTTGAAAAGTAAAGGCTCCTGCATAACGTACCCAATTGAATTTCTTAGAGATTTAACATCATAATCTTTTAGATTCACTCCATCAATCATTATTGATCCTTAATCGAATTCATAAAGTCTTAATAAAAGATTGGCTATCGTGCTTTTACCTGAACCGGAATGGCCAACTAATGCGACCTTGCATCCTTGTGTTATTTTCAAGGAAAAGTTGCTTAGTACAATTTTATCTCTTGAGGGGTATTTAAAGTTTATGTTTTAAAATTGTATTTCTCCATTTTTAATAGTATCAGTGAGTTCATAGTTTACCACTTTTTCTGAGTTAACTTTTAAGCCATCCTTCGAGCTATCTATGATAGAGAGAATTTTATTTGCTGCTTTCTTTGATTTGGAAGTCGAAGGAACTTAAGTGAATAAAGAGCCTGTTTATAATGCTGACAAGAATAGTGTGTAGATGCCAACAAAGCAATCCTCCTGGGACTCATTATGCTGAAAAATAAAAATCGTACCAATAAAAAAGATGAAGCCAATAAATAATAGTCGTATGCTTTAAGAATATCCATAGATAACACCGGTAAAATGTGCTTGTCTTAAACCAATTTTTCTTGGTCCTTGAAGTAAATCTTTGTATTAATCTACTAAAAACTCTATATTCTTTTGTCCTAGACTTATTACTGTCTTGTAATTGATAATGATATCGGAGAGTAAAGCGTTTGCTTTATCGTAAGGATCCATTGACTCTTCGTTCTCCTATACTTATTTAGCTGAATTTTTTAGTGAGTTCCAGTATACCATTTACTCAGCCACACCTCCAAGTATTAGAAATGGTGAAATAGAGATAGTAATCAAAGCCAATTTCCAATTACTGATAAAGGCTAGGGTAATTCCAATAAAAAGGCATAAAAGAGCCTCTAGAATCAGACCCAAAGTTTAGCTAGTTAAGCCCTTTAGTTAGGAAATATCCTCGTGGTACATACTACTCAAGATTCCTGGTGCTCTTTCTTTTTTATCAAACCACTCTATATTCTATCTAATCATTGAAGAGAATAGTGCTTTTCTAATTGAAAATGTTAGATTTTCACTAAGTTAAGCGAGCAAAGAACCTTTAAAATACTCAAATAAACCCATTAAAAATGTTATAGCCATGAAACTACCGCACCAAATATTCCTCGTTTCAACAAAAGTAGGTGATTGGAATCCAAGCATTACAAAACATACTTTAGAGAAGATATACCCATAGACTGGATATGAAAAGGCATTTAAAAATGTTGCAACGAAGGCCAGGAAGACTTTGAAATTAGGTTTGTAGTATTTCATGATGTCTTTCATTCCATATTATTTCTTGACAAGATTCTACATAGATGATTATTATTTAATAATTTCGCTGTTTTCTTCTTTCAGGATGTATTACGAATCATTCAGATCATTTTTCTACAAATTTCTATTAGTATTTAGTTTGTTGAAAGATTATTCAAGTTCCTCATTTCTTTTATCTGAAGAAGAAGTTTCTTATAGTAATTTCTTAGGAATTTTAAAAGGGCTATAACTGTTATCATCCCAATCATTATTTTATTCTAAGATTTTAATTATTTAATGGTATTTGTCAGAGTCTTTTTATGATTGAACTATTTTATGCTCCTTATCGAGGTAGATCAGATTGTCAGCAGCCATGATTGTTTAAATTCTGTGAGCAATAATAATGATTGTTAGTTTTTTGTCTGATCTTTGTATATTTTACAGTGCCTGCTAAACATCTTTTTCACTTTTAGGATCAAGAGCACTCGTGGCTTCATCTAATATCAACACCTTTGGATTCTTTATCAAAGCTCTTGCGATTGCTATTCTTTGCTTCTAACCCCCAGAAAGATTAAGAATATTTGATGACCCTACATAGGTGTCTAGAGAATGCTAGAGTTCATAAATAAATTCTGCATTAGCCACTCTAACGGCATTTTTTATCTCATCGTTACTGGCATCTTTGTTTCCCAATAGAATATTATCTTTGATAGATCCCATAATTAATACAGGTTCTTATTAAACTAATCCGATCGACTCGCGTAGAATTCTTAAGTCTACGTCTTAAATATTTAGGTTATCGAAAAATATTGACCCTGAATCTAATTTATAAAATCTCTCTATTAATTATATAATGGTACTTTTTCCTGATCCTGAGCTGCCAACAATCGCAGTAGTTTAGTTTGCTTGAATTGTAAATGAAGCGTCCTACAAAGTTACTTTACTTGCTTTGGGATACTTGAATGACACAGATTCAAACCTTATGTTTTCATTAACCTCAAAGTTTTTGATTTTTCCCTCTTATTTTGAAAAATTATTCTAGACTTTATCAATGACGTCAAAAATTTGTTTCCCGACTAGCTTAGCTTTTATAATTCCTTAAATATTGGGACTGATATTAAATAACGTTCCCGTACCATAAATGAATGACATAATCACAGAGATAATATCTCCAGTTGTATAATCTTACCCAGAACTTGCATTAAAGAGATTGTATTATATATAAACAGTGCCTAAGTAAGATTCAAACGCATAAAATCCAAATATAACAAATTTTAACAAACCTATAAAAGCAGCAATCTAATGCTCAGACTTGTCTGATATTTCTTTAGCTTGTTCTACTAATTTTTCAAATTTCTTAATCTCTTTTTCCTCTTAAGAAAAAGATGTAATCAATTTAATCGACATTAAACATTCTTCGACAACTCCTCCCATTTATTAAATCACAGATTACTTCCTAATAGAAAATTTCTATACTCTAATACCAATAGCAAATAGAATCGCTAACAAAATAGGAAATATTACTAAGAAAATTCCAGTTAAATCAGGCCCATATATCAAAGCAATAACTATTCCACTGAGTATATTACTTATTGAAAATATGATTGTTGAAAGCTTTTATCCTATAGAATCTTAAATAATGCTAAAGTTTTCACTTAGTTGAGATGGAAGCTGCTCTATATTCATGTTATCCAAGTCTTCTATTTCCTGTCTTAGCAAACAATTCAAGTACTAAGATCTTAATTTAAAAACTATATTTTCTGCTGCATGCTACCAGAATCCAAAAAATATATAACTGAACAACCAAACTGCAAATCCAAGTAGGCCGATTTAAAGTGACACTGATTTTAGAGCTTTTTCTTATTGATCTCGTGGGTTCCTTGGATCAAATATATCAGCTAGATCTCCAAGAAGAAAAGAAAACATAGGAAGAAAAATTCCAGTAAGTATAGCTGATATTGTTCCTATGATAATTAAAAACTTATCTGATCCTGCGATATCCTTAAAAAGTCTTTTAAATTCAACAGACTGCATATGTCTTTGCAAATTTTTTTATATTTGGGGAAAAATGAAATTATTTATTCAAGTACTAGTGAGAAATTAAACTGAAATTTTAAATGCTTAAGATAATATATATAAATCGAATATTATATAATTCAATTCAAACTCGATAAATATGCATTCAGTATAATTTATTTATCTTTAATTTTGCATTATTCATCAAATTTATATTAAATTGCCATTATGGGGTTTTGGGGTTTTGGGG